GATTGGCTTAAGCTTAGCTTGAGCTTAGTTTGGGCTTAGCTTGGGCTTAGCTTATGCTTAGCGTAGACTTGGCTTAGGCTTAGCTTAGGGTTAGCTTAGGGCTTGGCTTAGGTGCTTAGGCTTAACTGAGCCTTCGAATAGGCTTGGCTTAGGCTTGCTTAGGCTTGGGTTGACTTTTGCTTGCGCTTAGCTGAGGAGCTCGATTAGGCTGAGCTTAGGTCCTAACTAAAACTTGATCCTACCTGCAGAAGCGGAATCGAGAACAAAACCCGCTTTCCCACCGCCATCAAATGCCCGGTGGACTTGGCGATGAAGCCGCCCGAGTTGTAGAGCACCTAGAATAGCATAAACTGGATGGTATGAGTTCGCTTCGATACCTGATACCACCTAAACTGCGCGTTCGGGGATAGCCCAAATGCTTGTAGGCAGGGAAACACTAAAAACGTGCTCTAAAAATTGCTTTTTCCGGGCCAGAAATCACTGACCAGTCCCTGGAGGATGAAATAGCAGAAGAAATAATTTACGACAATTGCCATGGTATAGGGTAAAATATTCTAAAATCCTATTTTTTACAGAAACGGTTTGTAATACTACCATAAAAATCTCAAACGGATGTTTGGCTTTTGCGGGCAGCTTCTCCGAGTTAGTGTCGCTTTTTATCGCCGATTTTTCATCCTAAATACCATATTTTAAACGCGAAAAATGGTCACGAACTTCTTGAGGATCTCGTAACACGCCGAGGTAACTGAAATTAGTTGAATTCCATTAATTGAACGGTTGGAAACTAACGTGAAGAGAAGTAGGGCTGGCACGAGGACAAGCGATAGGAGGACCACACCCGGGGATAGACCAAATGTGGCTTAAAAAAATATTCATAGTGTTAAGAAAGCGCGCTTACTTGTCGCTATCGCATAAAATAAGGAGCCTAACATTCCAGCCATACCGCAACCGCAGGAGTACGCGGAGATTGTATTTCTACAAGTAGAAATGTTTTGGACATCGGTGTGTCCGTTTTTACGATTTAGGTATCTAATGAAAGCTCTCGGAGAGGCGATGCTCGGATTTTGTCTCGGATTTTCGAAATGCTGCCATTTTCTTTAGATTTACTAATTGTTTCCGAAACTAGCAAACTTATCTTTTTCGGATGAAGGGGGTTTTACAAAAACGTCTGAAAAACCGTAATCAATGAATTTTTACGTATATTTTTTGTGGATGCCCAAAGAGAGCTATTTCGAAAGCGCGCCATAGCTCATACGATAGAGCTTGAAATTGTGAATAGACTCAAAACTTTCAAAAATTGCTGCACGTACACGGCCTCTTGGAAAAACTTTGCTTTGGGAAGGCCGATTTTCCCGTTCTTAGACTCCTTCCAAACCCTCAACAAACTTGTGGTATCGTGAAGATAGAGCAAGGAAGGTCATCTCGCCGATGCCAAGGGATAAGCTGCCGACGGAGACAGCTAAAATCATGCTCGAATATAGCGTCTATTAATACCGAATAAAGTTATAGGTATATTTGTGGCGATGGCGGCAACGCTGAACGAGGTAAGCTGGCAGAAAGCTATGGCCAGGATTCGGATCCTGGAATTAATTTTATAGGTATTACACCTGATTACTTTAAATTAAAAGGCCCCCTCAGGCTGATTGTCCCAAATTTTTCGGCATTTCGTTATTTTGTCGGGATTTTCGCTCCGCAATTTGATAGACCGTCAAAAATATACCAAGAGTTTTAATTGCAGCTCAAAATAACTAAGCTAAAAAAGTTATAGCAAAAAATATATGGGGACCTCCGGCTGCGGGGGGTAGAAACGTTTTACCAAGCAAAATCCCCAAATTCGCATAACCTTTGGCAAAGCACAAAACCACAAAAATCTTTATTTTCCTCATTTATCACGAACCGATTTTCAGCGTGAATTTTGGCACGTAACGGTTCCTTTTTGCGGTACTATCGAGCACCTGATCTGACCAAACTAGTCAGCGGTTCGAGATCAGCAGGGCCTTTGTTCCGGCACGCACCCGGTTGACCTTGGCCGATCAAATATACACATCTTTCTCCGCATGTTTCCTAATGACGCGTATGGTCGGAGTGTACCCCTGGCGCGTGCTCCAAGTCAGCATCACGCAAGACTTTGTGTGAGTCTGGCGACAGAAATGACAGTTTTTTACACGCTAACCTTACCTTAAACTGCGAGATACCTTGTGTTAAACCGTTTTTAATCGCTTTTTATGGAAAACATTGATAATTTCCAAGATCTGAGCTATTTTTTTGCAATTGCTAACCCCTGCCAAATTTTGCGTAACTATGGTTTTTCTAACTTGATTTGGCCTAGAACCGGTTGAGAACGACCACCTGATTTGATTGCGCCTTTGGAAAATCAGAAAACCGACATGACGGGGATTTTGCGTAAAAAGATGGGGCTGATCAACTGGATGATGGCGGCTGGCAGAACGTTGCAGAGCAGTACAGCTCCCGTCGAGATGGGCCCACAACGGAAGTCATCACTAGAAGCCTGAAAAAGGACTGGAAACGTCTGAAAAAGGTTTAGGCTTTGGTCTAGGTGTACTGGGCTTTGCTTAGGTTTGCGCTTAGGCTAGGCTAAAGCCTAGGCTTAGCTTAAGCATTGTTTAGGTTCGCGTAGGCTTGAGCTTCGGCTTGGGCTTAGGTTTAAACTTGGGCTTCGGCTTAGGCTTAGGTTTCGGCATAGGATTAGGCGTACGCCAGGCTTTGGCTTAGATTTGTGTAAAAATTAACGAATCATACCAAACAAACATCGGCCGTGCTCTGATTCTCATGTTTCTGATCCCTAGCCAACATGTCCTTGGCCCCAGTCAGCATCACCACATATCCCAGATTCGAGCAGACGCCAAATAACCTAAAAGACGCTTTCAATTTAACTCAATCCACCCACCAAAAAGCAAAAAAATTGCGCGTTGCTGTGGATGACGACGTCGGGCAGTTCATCTAGCGTTTTTGTGTGGCGGTTTGGGGGTATATTTCCTCATTTTGTACCCCGGAACCGCCTGGAAAAGGGGGAGGAACCGACCTGACTAGGGGTCGAGAGAAAAGGATTTAAAGAACGAGCAAAAAAGGAATAAACTCCTGCTCATCATCATCATCATGATCCAGCACATGACAACGACATCAACCGTTAAATTGTACCTAGAAAAGAGAAGATAAGAACGTACAATTGCCGGGAATACCCGATTGTGTTTTCCGTTCAATAAAGAGTGCGGTGGGGTGATGATGAAAAAAGTGTGGGAGAATATGAATAAATGATAATATTTCTTTGGGTTTTGAAACTAGAGGTCAAAAGCATGGCTTAATTAACTTAGGCTAGCTTAGGCTTAGCTTCGGCTTGGCTTGGGCTTAGCTTAGGTTTCGCGTTGGCTTAGCAAGCTTGGGTTAAGCTTAGCTTTGACTTGGCTTGGGCTTAGCTTAGGCTTAGCTTAGGCTCAGCTTAGGCTTAGCTTAGGCTTAGCTTAGGCTTAGCTTAGGCTTAGCTTAGGCTTAGCTTAGGCTTGGCTTAGACTTAGCGTAAGCTTAGCTTCTATTATCTTGGCGTCTAGGCCTGTTGCTTCAAAACTGTAAACCGGAAACATAAATTAGAATATCCCAACTATGAATATAAAATTTTAATCCGGAAACGCACCGTATAAGCGGAATTCTACCCGAGAAATCGATTTCCCCAAATCTGTCCCATTCTTATCTGCTCAACGGCAAATGAAGGTCAGTACTTTTTTGAACCTGGTCTCAATATTCTAATATTTGCGATCCTACTATATATAAAAAAATAGTGTCTGTGTGTGTGTGTGTATATTTGCATGCAACTTCCGTAAGTATGTACCGCACCTACAGCCTCAAGGGAAGGTTTTTAAGGTACGTATGATACGTCATTAGGTGCGTAAGGATCCCGAGATGAGTGCACACATATAAGATTTAGGAAAATTGGCTGTTTTCGCTATTAAAAATAAGTTTTTGTAAAGATTTCCAAAAACCTCTTTGTTAGGAGGCAATTTGCATGCGCCGGAAGTAGGGAGAGCCTATATAAAGGGACAGAGGAGCTGTTTTTCACTTTTTTTCTTGCTAGAATTTAGGGAGAAGCATGCAAATTGAAGACTTTTGCAGATCCTGGACGGGGCCAGGGTTGAAAAGCCGCGAAGCGGTTTTTCGACCCTGGTTTATTCATTAAGCAGATCTATTTTTTTACGTAAGCAAAAATTATCTTCCAAACGACTTTTCTAGGGTGTCACGCAAGACAGCCGCTCCTCGGCCTCGGCGCCCGCGCCTGCATCGGCGAACAGCTCGCTGCGCAGCCAGTCTGCCTCCCGCAAGGCCACCAAAAGCGATGCCAGCAAGAGGAAGTCGCACAAGAAGCCGGTATTCTGATTTATTAACGCTAGATTCTCTCTTTTTCTAGTCTCGGGACGCGCGCAAGGATCTGTTCAACAGCGTCGGCCGCGTCAAGCACCGCTCCAAGGCGTCGAAGCGCTCGTCGCACAAGTCGAAGAGCCGTCGCTCCAAGGTATCGACTGAACTCCAGATACCCCCCAGCCTGCCCCACTTTTGTATCTCGGCTCCCTGTCGATCTACAGTTGTGTAAAGCATTCCAAAATACTCGCCAGAGCAAGACGAACATTTTGGTATACTTTACACAACTGTAGATGAACAGGAGCCGAGATCAAAAATTGGATGCCGGCTGGGGGTGAAGATCAAACTGCACTCTAACCTAAAATACTCGTTGAGAAACGCTCGAACAAGTCGCGAAAGAGGAGCACCTCTGCCGTTGGCTCGTACGCTCCGGCCGGCTCCGACGTCGACGAGGCCTCCTATGCCTACATGATCTGTGCCAAGGTGGCCGTCTCGCTGCTGTGCCTCGTGCAGGCGTTCTTCGTCTGCTACGTCTTTATCGGGTTCATCTTGATCGAGAAAAGTCTGCCCGTGTCCACCGGATTGGTACGATACGGATGATACCAAAATTAGAATATTTTCAGCTCGTGAGCATGCTGCACCTGATCGTCATCTCGCTGTCGGTGGAGATTGTCGTCTACTCCACCAAGCGTACCTGCTCATCTACCGCTTTCTAATGGAATCTTAGAGCTTTGCCTGTTCGTGATGGCCTCCGACCTGTGCTGCGTGCTCACCTCGTTCCTCTACATTGCCATCAAGGAGTCGGCCGAGCGCGAGCCGGGCTACTCGACCATGCAGAGCCTCGAGCTGCTGCGCAACAGCGTCGTCGTCACGGCAGAATCGTGTCTTCTACTGGTAATGGAAGTTTGAGCTTTAAAATTCGCGGTGAAATTTTGCATTTTGTCTAATTTTAGCGATTTTTCATACATTTTCGAACAAAAAGCTAAGATGTTCTAAATTTTTTAGGGTGTAGATTTGTCGGAAGATAATGTGAAATTTGTTAAAACTAGCGTTATTTAATTATTCCGCCTCTACAGAGTCACCCGCAGAAATTTGCTTGCTTTGCTTGCGCTTGGAAGCACCGGACCCAAATCACAATATCTCGGCTGCTTGCTAAGCAATCCTGTAAAGTATACCAAAAATACTCTCCAGGGCAAGACGAACATTTTGGTATGCTTTACAGCCCTGTAGCATACCGGGTTACCCAGATACGAGATGTGGGCGGCCAAATAGCTGGCCTGGGTTCGACTGCCTTTGAATATATGAATTCTTCAGGTTTATTCACGCTCAGTGGTAGCTACAGTATTCGGGGAGCAATGGAATTCGGGGAGCAATGAGACAGAGGGACTGGGAGAGATGGCAATCAGGTCCGAAGAAAGGACCGACAATGACCGGGAGAGACTAGCGTCTCTGGAGTTTCGCTCCTTAAATGTGGGGAGCTTCAAGGTTACAGTCGGGCAAACGGCATATCGTTATACAATGGCTTATTGTCCTGGGAAAGACAATACGCTGGGTCAAATCAAGGAATGCTTTAGCTTCTGACAAAGGGAAGTAGAATCAGGCTAGGTTTTGGTCGCCTACAAAAGGTGGCAGGTGAGTGATTCTGGATTCTGGCTTATTGACAGCTGGAGGCATTGGCAGCGTATTGGTTTCATCGGGCTCGTCTCGGCATTGGTCGTCGGAAGATCATCTACATAGGGATAAAGACAAACAGAGAGAGAAAAGGGGGGGTAGAGAGGAAGAAGAAGACGAAGGGCATCCGAATTATTCGGTTCGGATGAGTGGGACTGAATCCCGGGTCGCCCACGTGGCAGCGGGCATTTATATTTCGTGCTTACAGTTGAAAATTGGCATTTTAGGGTTGCTTCTGCTAAAAAGGGGTACTTTGTTTGCTATTCAGAGGGTTTTTTAAAGAGGGGCTTTTTATTCTTGTTCCCTCGGTCTACGATCGTCGCGTAGGTTTTGCTTGATGTCGGAGGCTGTGTAGCTGCTATCAGTCTTCTGCGCTGCGGGACGCTTTGTGATATTATCATTGCCTCTTGCCGTTATGCGGCTTGGCTGGGAAACAGCTGGAGGCTGCGGGGATTTGCGCGGGGATGCTCTAGTTTGCTTGCGGCGTTGATTTCTAATCTTGTTTTTAGTCTTAGTTAAGTTGCGTTGATTTTCCAAAGAATGAATAGATTCGTAAAAGGGAATTAAGTGAGTCATTTCTCGATCCATGATCTCTAATTTTGGGATATTTTTCCTAGTTCGTAATTTTTCGAAACATTTATTTGGGATTAAATTTAGTATGGCAGCAATTTTCCAGTCTTTGCGTTGCTTGCTAATTTCGTTTGCAATTAGATTCTCACCTTCGCGAGAGGTGTGAGACTGTTTCGAAATATGAATGTCTGAGGTTTGAGGGGGATAGTGCATTTGGGAAAATTCATGTTTCCATGAGTGCGAAAATTTTTGAATTGGGGCTTGGCTTGTTTCGAACATGAGATTTAATATATCTGCAATGTCCTGAGGGGATTTTTCCTCTAAATTATAGAAAATATGGTCTTCCGTCTTAGTAAAATGAATTGATCGTAAAAACGGATTACCGCCTGTAACTATCTGTGTATTTACGATTGAAACGGCTTCGGCTAGAATTGTTATAAAAACAGTAAATTTGGGAATTTCGTTTCTGAGAGCAATATTCAGGCTTTTCTTTAGGCATTTCATAATTTCTTCGCCTATATTTACAGTATTTTGCGTGCAAGGGTACTTAGGGGGATTCTGCGGTTCCCAATCTATCGAATGCAAGACTAAATTTTCGGCAGTGCCTGGCGCTAATCTGTGCGAAGTCTCGCTTGCCAGTTTTAAAGAGTCAGCTTGGGTGCTGTAGATAAAGTGGGGTGGTCCCCATACAGCAATAAATCGGTGAATGCATACTAGAATATCGTCGGGAAGAAGATTTTGACAGTATTCTGTCCAAATTAATCTAGATGACTTGCATGAAAAAATTACAACATAAATTTCGTCGTATTGGATTGAAGTCTGGTCGTCTAAGATTGATATTGGGCCCAAATATTCAATAGAAACAAATTTGAATAAAATTGATTCGGCTCTACTTTTTCTTAATAAAGGGGTGAAAGCACGTTGATCCTGATTGATCATCAGATTTTGAGCTACTTTGAGAGATTGATTGAATGTGCGACTATTGCCTTCGGTTTTAGTTTCTAAGGAAGGCTTATCCTGGCAAACGATGTTTAGGGGCGTTAAGGAGTTTCTTAGTCGGATTGCAAAGGACTGCTCATTAGTGCAGTGCTTTTTAGTGATTTCGATATTTGAAAGATCAGGTATGGGGTGTTTTGGCGAGTTTACGATCGGGGTCTCTACTTTCTTTTCGCCTTGGTAAATTGAACCTTTCTGAATAGGCCACAAAGATTCTGGTTTTTTTAGGAAGTCCGGTCCTGTAAGCCATGTACTATTTTTCCATTCGGTTACGGTCAAATTTTTTAGTGGCTAAATTAGCTGCGTTGTCGCTTTTTGAACATAGCAAATATCTATAGCGACTTGCTGTTGCAGTTTTTCAACAATTTTCTGCATTTCCATTACATTGCTTCGGTTACCGGCAGTTAATTTATCTGCTTTATTTTGGCAATAATAAACGCAAACATGTGAACTGGACATTATATAGGTTTTAGTTGGCTTAATTTCAAAATTCTCGATTATAGTGTGTCCTAGTCTAATTCCGTTTAGTAGGGCGGAAATTTGTGCAGTTAAAATCAGGGTCTTTTGATTTGGAGGGTTGAGTTCACTTACGGCAGTAATAAAATCGACTATCCGTTTTCCTTTTTGGCGGTTGCGGTGTAAGCTACGCAACCGTGCATGGTTGGATTTCCGTTACATTGAATTATAAGATCGTACTCATCAGTACTAGTCCTATTGTACTTTCGAGGGAATGAAAATTCTCTTACATTAGCTAATTCGTTTTGACCAGGGTTGAAAAGCCGCTTCGCGACTTTTCAACCCTGGCCCCGTCTTGGACCGCATGCTGTTCTACGCTTTGCATAATTGCGCTGAATTCAGATGACCAAGAAAATGAAAATGATTCGCTTCTGACCCTTTATATAGGCGACTTCTTACTTCCGGTCAATGCTAATTTTTTCCTGGCGAAGAGGGTTTTACAAAAACTTAAATTTAATATCGAAAATGGCTGATTTTCATAAATCTGATATGTGGGCAGTCATCCCTAGACCATGACGCACCTAATGACGTATCGTACCCACCCCTAACTTCTTCCCCTATAGAGATACGACTGGAACAACGATACGGAAGTGGATGCAAAGTGGCACACACACGCACACAGACACTATTTTTTTATATATAGTAGGATAAGCGTGAAATTGGGTACTAAGATTTTCGGCGAGAGGGCTCTCGGGTGCCTAAGCTTTTGCGCCTCTCTTTTTAGTAATTTAGCTTGATTTAGAATAGGCAATGCAAATCCAAGTGTATTCGTTTTGATAAGCGTGAAATTGGGTACTAAGATTTTCGGCGAGAGGGTCTCTCGGGTGCCTAAGCTTTTGCGCCTCTCTTTTTAGTAATTTAGCTTGATTTAGAATAGGCAATGCAAATCCAAGTGTATCTGAAATAGATTCAATCCAGGATAGTAATTGATGCTTTGTGGGACCTGATCCCGATGATTTTGGAGGGATATCAAGGCTAAGGGTATCATTTATGGGGTCCCAATCGTATTCCAAAAGTTTTGTTGGCTGATTAGCACACTGATCTCTAGGTATTTGGTTAAATTCGATATTTGATGCGAACTTGTCTAATTCGAATTTGCCATAGTGCCATAAAAAGGTTTTAGCTTGATGATATTTTTCCAGAATATCCTTTTCATCTTGGATTTTAATTACTAGCTGATCAGCAGAGGCTGATTCTTTTAAGGTATTCAAAAGCCAATTTGGCGCAAACTGCTGAAATTTTTCTGTAATCCAGTCAAGTGAAGCCTTTGATAAAGATTCGGCACATTTCAAGCCAAATGGTAGTTTAATGAATTTGTATTGAATGATCTGGTCTTTGCCTTTAGAATTTGTGAGTTGCCAAAAGAAACGTAGTAAATCCTGGTGTTTTTCTGAAATATGGATATTCAGGGAGGGATTTTCTAATATTGGCGGTCAGGACCTTTTTCATAAGTTCTAATTCGTTGTAAAGTTTTAAGAGGATTGGGTCTAAAGTAATTTCCTTCGTATTCAACGTCACTCAGGCTGGTTTTGCCTGTTAGCTTTGCACTAGTATCATAGCAAGGTTGAAGTTGGGTCGTATCTGCGCCTTTAGTAAGCATTAAAGCTGGCATAAAATAGGTATTGGCTGCTAGATAGTCCTTAGGATCAACTTTCTTAATAACTCCTGCTATTTCCATATTTACGATGATTTGATTAGCTTCGCGCCAAAGGGATGGATTTAGCTTCAGGTATTCAATCGAGTAACGTGTTTGAGATAATGCGAAATTATAGTTGCTAGCACTGGGCAAAAATTCTTTTCCATTCTTATCTCTTTTTAGCAACAAATCAACAATTAAATTGCCTGCTTCAAAACGAGTCGTTTCGTTGAAGTTTTCTAGGATTTTCTGATCTAATTTCTGATTACTGGATCCTTTTTATAAACTTTTATGTATTCTGCTGGATCATCACTGTCAGTTTTCTTAGATTTTTCAGTGATAATATGGATAGATTGATGCCTAGCTGTAGAAACATCGTGAATGGCTTTAGGTATTTTTCGCATTGTGCCTGCGGCTAAATAGCCTAATTTAGTGGGTGTAAAGGTAAGTCCATTTTTAAGTCGAAATTGAGGTTTATTTTGATTACCGAATTCATAGATTTCATTGGTGAGGCCAA